AAAACTGGAAAATAACACATTAAAGAATATTTAGATAAGTTAGATTTATTCAAGTAGGCCAGGCCTCATGAAATACACCTGTGGTACTTAGGGAATTAACTGAAGCAATCTTGGAGCCATTAGCAGTTACCTTCGAGAACTCATGGAGGACAAGTGAGGTACCAGAAGAATTGGAGAAGGGCAAACATAATACCTATCTTCCAAATGGGGAAAAAAGGGCACCTGGGAATTTATAGACCAGTCAGCCTAACTTTGATACCTGCAAAGATACTGGAACAAATTATTAAACAATTTGTTGGTAAGCACTGGGAGGGTAATAGGGTTCTAAGGAATAGCCAACATGGATTTGTCAAGAAGAAATCTTGCCAAACCGACCTAATTGCCTTCTTTGGCAGGGTTACTGGCCTGGTGGATGGGGGAAGCAGTAGACGTGATAGATCTTGATTTTAGTAAGGCTTTTGTCACAGTCCCACTGAACATTCTCACCAGCAAACTAGGGAAATGTGGTCTAGATGAAATTACTGTAATGTAGGCGCACAACTTGGTACCACATGTCATTTTGATTAAAAAACTAGAACAATATAAAATGAATGTGGAGCACACTAAATGAATTAAAAACTGATCGGTCTTAATATAACTGTAAATGGGGAATGATCACTGAGCAGATCTCTTTCCAAGAGTCTCAATTCTTGGCCCCGTGCTATCTAACATCTTTATCAATGACCTGGAAGAAAACATAAAATCATCACTGATAAAGTTTGCAGATGACCCCAAAATTGGGGGAGTGGTAAATAATGAAGAAGATGGGTCACTGATTCGGAGCAATCTAGTTTGCTTTTTAAACTGGGCACGAGCAGACTATGTGGTTTAGTACGACTAAATGTAAATGTGTTCATCTGGGAGCAAAGAATATAGGACATACTTACAGGACGGGGGATGCTCCAGGATGGTGTGGATTGCACCCTCAGCAAGTTTGCAGATGACACTAAACTGGGAGCAGAGGTAGATACACTAGAGGGTAGGGATAGGATACAGAGGGACCTAGACAAATTAGAGGATTGGGCAAAAAGAAATCTGATGAGGTTCAACAAGGACAAGTGCAGAGTCCTGCACTTAGGACGGAAGAATCCCATGCATCGCTACAGACTAGGGACCAAATGGGTAGGCAGCAGTTCTGCAGAAAAGGACCTAGGGGTTACAGTGGACGAGAAGCTGAATATGAGTCAACAGTGCGCCCTTGTTGCCAAGAAGGCCAATGGCATTTTGGGCTGTATACGTAGGGGCATTGCCAGCAGATCGAGGGACGTGATTGTTCCACTCTATTCGACACTGGTGAGGCCTCATCTGGAGTCCTGTGTCCAGTTTTGGGCCCCACGCTACAAAAAGGATGTGGAAAAATTGGAGAGAGTCCATCGGAGGGCAACAAAAATGATTAGGGGACTGGAACACATGAGTTATGAGGAGAGGCTGAGGGAACTGCGGATGTTTAGTCTGCGGAAGAGAAAAATGAGGGGGGGATTTGATAGCTGTTTTCAACTACCTGAAAGGGGGTTCCAAAGAGGATGGCTCTAGACTGTTCTCAGTGGTGGCAGATGACAGAACAAGGAGTAATGGTCTCAAGTTGCAGTGGGGGAGGTTTAGGTTGGATATTAGGAAAAACTTTTCCACTAGGAGGGCAGTGAAACACTGGAATGCATTACCTAGGGAGGTGGTGGAATCTCCTTCCTTCGAAGTTTTTAAGGTCAGGCTTGACAAAGCTCTGGCTGGGATGATTTAATTGGGGATTGGTCCTGCTTTGAGCAGGGGGTTGGACTAGATGACCTCCTGAGGTCCCTTCCAACCCTGATATTCTATGGTTCTATGACACAGGGACTCTGAAAGATTTGGGGTCGTGGTGGAGAATCCCAGTGGGACACTGTAGCCAAAAGAGCTAATCAGATCCTGGGATGCATAAACAGGGGACTCTGGAGTAAGTTATTTTACCTCTGGATTTGGCACTGGTGAGATCACCGATGGAATGCTGTGTCCTGTTCTGGTGTCAACAATTAAATAGAGATGTTGATAAACTGGAGGGGATTCAGAGAATGATTAAAAAATTAGAAATCATGCCTTACAGTGATAGACTCAAGGAGCTCAATTTAGTTAGCGTAATAGAGAGAAGGCTAAGGGATGGCTTGATTACAATCTATAAATACCTACTTACAGTAAATCTACATTGCAGTGTAAGCCCGGGGTTAGTGGGACTTGAGTCAGCTGACCTGTGTTAGAGAACCCTGGGCTTGATCATCTACACTGATTCTTAACCCTATGCTAAGATTTTTCAAATCTGGGCTTGAACCTGGGGCTCTGGTGTCCACACTGCAGCTTGTTGACCGGAGTCAAACCAAACATATCCCAGAGCCTCTAGCACCTTCCTGAAATGTACCCACTCTAGCCCTTTGACCATGATGCACTGTGGGAAATCTTTACTGCCCACCCTGCATGTTACAGGAAGTGTGACCAGCCTGCCGAGCAGTCATTTTGGTCTGTGTTCTCCCAGATACTGGAGCCAACCTTTTGAAGAACTTCTCTTGCTTGCACTTCACTCCTGTGTCAGGAAACAGGCAGAACTTCCATGAGATGCTGGTGGACATTTCCATGGCACTTTCTGACCCACCAAAGGTACCTGATGGATTTCATCATGGAGGAGGAGGCAGAGGAGGAACAGTACCCTGGCATGGCAGATTTGCACTGGCAGATGCTGCTCAGAACAACCAGTGCATCTGGTGCAGCACTACAAGACCTAGGATGACCAGCAGTGGGTCTAGAACTTTCGCGTGAAGAAAGCTACATTTCTGGAGCTTTGTTAGCAGCTTTCCCTGACTTTCTAGTGTAAAGACACACACGTGAGGCACTCTTGCCTGTCCATAAGCGGGCTGCTATGACCGCCTGGAAGCTGGCTACCCCAGACTGCTACAAGTCTGATGTCTACCAGTTTGATGTTGGAGAGTTGACTGTGGTTGAAGTGGTTGCCTCAGAAACCTCTGCTATCAGGCATGTGGTGTACCCCAAGGTGGCAGGCATTCAAGATATTCTGGAGGCAATTGCTGACTTTGAGATAATGGGGTTTCCAAACTGCACTAGGGCCATTGATGGGACTCGTGTTCTTAGTTCGCCCTCCTTAAGGCGCATGTGAGGAATAGACCGCAAAGGGCACTACATTGTCATGCAGGCCCTCATGGATCACAGAGGCTGATTTATGAATGTCAGTGTGGGCTGCACTGGAAAGGTTCACAGTGTCAGTTATTCGCCATTCGGGAGTCTACATTTATGGACAGGCTGGCATGCTAGTCCCACTAAATGATACTATAAATGGAGTTGCAGTCCCCACTGTTATTCTGGGGGACCGTGCCTACCTCTTTTTGCCTTGTTTTATGAAACTACACCCTGATTTTAGAGGCTCTGGCAAAAGGAGGTTTGTTTACACTCTCAGCAGGTGAAGAGTGGTTGTTGCATGGTAGAGGTTATTGCATGCATAAAATCCTGGTAGAGGTGTCCACAGAGCCATTTGGATGCCAGTGTCATCAACGCTGTCTGCATTACTATGGCTTGCTGTGCTCCTCGCAACCTTTGTGAAGCCAGAGGTGAGTCATTTCCTCCTGAATGGACCTATGACCGTGAGGGGCCGCTGAATCGTTATGCTCAGCCAAACAGTGCATCTGTCTCGAGCTGGCACCCAGGAAGCAGAGGTCGGGGATGTTTTGAGTTCTTACAGTATGGACTTGTACAGCCCAGTGGAAGAGGGGAATAGTACCTGTATGAATGTGCTTGTTGGGGGGAAAGGGGCTAATGGATTTTGGGGAATGTTTGCTTGATTGCTGTGCAATATACTTATGCATGACATGTTGAATAACGGATTTGGGGGTGGCAGTGTAGGTTCATAGAAGGAAGGTATTGAAGGGTGAATTGCTGTACCTAACCGCATAGAGGAATAGTGTTGCTTAGTCATGTATAATTGCCCCGATCATGTTTTTAGTTTTATCCCAAATCATGATTGTATGAGGTGATGCACTGATAGCAATAAACTTTTAAAAAAGGCTTTATCTGTAGACGAGTTAAACCTGTACGACAGTCGCCTATTGCTACTCAGGCCAGCTGACATTACAACACCCAAAAACAACTACCAGAAGAACCTTTCCAAAACAAAAATATAAAAGAGCAGGAAACAGTGCAAAGATGACATAAACCCTCTACCGCTACTTGTCTCTTGGCTCCATGTTCTCCATTCCCTTCTTTCCCCATTTTCTGCGTTCTTGGTGCCAGGCTGGGGGTGGAGGTATCCACAGGAGAGGGGTTCGAAACCCCCAGTAGCCTTCCTTCTTGTTGCTCTGCCCAGCCTTTTATGGGCTTGAACGCATGGGCTGCCCCAACATGGAGTTGTCCAAGGTATTTTTAGACTGAGGGTACGTTGCAGGGAGATCAGGTCATGGTGTGGGAAAGGCAGCAGGAGCCGGTGCTCCACCCGCCATGGTGGAGATGAGTCACTCAAACAGTTCTTTGGGCTCTGTCCTTCTCCCTTAGCCACCATTCCTGTTCTAGGAACTGTGTTGCAAGTGACTGCTCCACAGCTGAAACCCTGTCCTCCCCCCGAGCGGCAAGCCTTAGCTTTTCCACCTGCCTCTCAGCATGCTATTGTTCCAGTCTTTCATCTCTCTGCTGCTGGTATTGGACTCTCAAGAACTTTGAGAGCCCTCTCAAGAACTTTGACTGTAACTTCATCTCAGAAATGCTTCCGTCTGGAACGGTCCACAAAGGTTTATTGGGCCAAGCGTCAAATTCTGGATGTACAGCAACCAATGGAGATTAAGGGGCCTGAAATAGGACAAGAAATAGAGGGTTATTGTCTAAAGTAGCTCAGTGAAGGAACATAGAGTTAATTCTTGTGGAATCTCAAGGACATAAAATGTTACATTTCAAAACTGAACCAAAATATATTGTGAAAGGGATGCTTCTGTCCACAGAATCTCTCTGGATACAGCCTGGTTAATCACAGTTCCAGAAGTGCAGAGACAATGGTAAGTTAAAATTTATAAGCTTTTTTGGTTTTATAAAAATTTCATAAGTAATTGGATTGTTGGGGGTTGGCAACAAGTGCACTGGCAACAAAGGCTTTTTCTATCATTTCCAGCCTTTCATGTTTTGGAGGACATAACTGTTGTTTGTGGTGCCCTCATCGAAAAAGGAGATGTTATTCCAAGCTATTGGTGGGAAATCTACACTATACGCAGCTGAAGTATTCAAACGTATAGTGATTGAACAGCACATCAATGAGTGTAGTGAGCTAGTCAGCTACCGAGGTGGCCCTGGAAAATATGCTTTTCCCGGCAATGTAACTACCTAGCTGGAGTTCCTGCTTCAAGAAGACTTTGCAGCTATCAGCAACCAGGCGTGTGTCAGAATCCATGAAGGAATTAACAGGATGCTGCCTTAGCTTACCCGTGGCTTACCCTGTTATGGCTTCATGCAAATACACAGAACTCCACAGCCTTCCTCCTTCCCGCTCATGGCACATTTCTGGACAAAAATTGACACCCCAGTCGTACTTGGAATATTTTGTTACCCACGGACTGCATGGACAACCTCTAATTGAAATGGACTAGATTTGGAAATATAACAGTTTTACTTACACACACAGACACACACACACACACACACTTCACTGTTTCTGGGTTGCTCCATAGATCACTGAGCAGTTACAGTGTGGCAGACTTTAGGACCTGTCAATGTAAGGTTATTAACTGTAAGAACTAGAAATGGCCCTAGCAAAAATTTGAGCTTTTCAATTAAAAATGCTCTTTAAATCTGTCCTTTATCGCAGTGATTCTCGACCTGCGGTCTGAGTCCATGGACTATGTCTTAAGGGGTCTGCAAAAGACTTTGGCAATGTTTACACTAGAGAGATTACAGTGGTGCAGCTGTGCTGCTGTAGGATCTCTTGTGTAGCCGCTCTATGCCGATGGGGGAGAGAGCTCTCCCGTTGACATAATCCACCCCCAATGAGCACACTAGTGCTCATGCTGACATAATTTGTCACTCGGGGCGTGTGTGTGTGTGTAATATTCACACCCCTGAGTGACATAAGTTTTGCTGACAGGGGAGGGATAGCTCAGTGGTTTGAGCATTGGCCTGGTTGTGAGTTCAATCCTTGAGGGGGCCATTTAGGGATCTGTCCATCCCCCCCACACACCCCCAAAAAAAGGAACGGTATTTGATCTGGTCCTGCTTTGAGCAGGGGGTTGGACTAGATGACCTCCTGAGGTCCCTTCCAACCCTGATCTTCTGTGATTCTATGACATAAGTGGTAGTGTAGACATAGCCTTAGCCTGAAAACTGACTGAACAGAATTCAGTTATATGCAGTACGCGCCCTCTCTATAACGAACCCCTTGGTTCGTTAATCTAATCTCAGAACTAATCTGAGACCTTCCTTTTCCTCTCTGTCTCATTCAGGCATCTCCCAGCAATGGAACCAACAGCCATTAGGTCTCACAACCACCCTAGGAGATACAATCTGTAAGAGAGATTTACTTTCCCCTCAATGGGATCCAAGCCATTTGTTTGTTATAGCCAGGGGTCCATCATAGCAAAAGAGACCTGCCGCACCTGCGGTGCGGGCTGACAGTTCCTCCAGTCTCGGGACTGGAGGTGGGATCCAGGGACCAGGTCCATTATATCTAAAGGTTTGTTATTATGAAGGATGTTACAGTGAGGGTGCACTGTACACAGACAACAGGTTTCCAAAGGGGTCCACAAATTAAAAAAAAAAAAGGGCGAGAACCACTGCTTTACTGTTTGGAATTCCTGGTTGCTGGTTTGAGCTCAACATGGGTCAGGGAGGGGAGACACCAAGGTGCTATGTTACAATCTGCCATTTGCAGATACACACTGGTAGCCAGGGCATTTCATAACTTTTGCATTAGTTCTTAGAGCTGAAATCCCTTCCATTACTGTAGTAATAAACTTTTCAATTGGAGTCAAACTTACTGGGCTCAGGGTCGGCTTCTGTCTCCTCTGGGTTTGCTCGGCCACGGGGTGGTCCTTGATGGTTGCGGTGGGGAAGAGCCATCAAACAGCTGTTCCTGTTGATCCTGTCCCACAGCCTGATCTGGGACTGGTTTCAGAAACAGTCACTTCATGCTCCTCACTCGGAGCCTCTTGCTGACTCTCATCATTTACCAGCCTGGATTCAGGGAACAGCAGGGCACCAGCCTGGCTAACCAGGTTGTCATGCACTATGGTTGGCTCTGTGCTGGGCACAGTTCCCAGCACCAGGTCAAACCCCTCATAAAACGGGCATGTGGTTGGCAAGCTGTCAGGTACTGTTCTAGTCCCTGGTCTGCCCGTACCCGTCTTAAGCAACTTAATCCACTCCCTGCACTAGTCACCAGTCTGGAGAATTTGCAGAGCTGCCAGCTTTTTAGCTATTTGCTGGTATGCATGGTCATTCCTGGCACTTCACTAAAGTCCACAGTTTTACTGGCCTCGCACCAGAGATTCACCAAAATCTGGCTGTGCTCCCGTGACCATGAAGCAGCACGCTTTGCAGAAGGCTTGTTCTGTTCGGTTTCCATTGCAAACACAAAAGGATCTCTGAGGGGTGTTTGCAACTCAGTGATCAGAAGACAAATAGAAGGGTTAATGCTGACTAACTGAGCTGCAGCTGTACATCAGAGGTGGGTAGCTTCTGTTTTCAGTTGAATCAATTGGAGACTGTTGGGATAGATTTCAGAGTAACAGCAGTGTTAGTCTGTATTCGCAAAAAGAAAAGGAGTACTTGTGGCACCTTAGAGACTAACCAATTTATTTGAGCATGAGCTTTCGTGAGCTACAGCTCACTTCATCGGATGCATACTGTGGAAAATACAAAAGATGTTTTTATACACACAGACCAGATTTGTGCTGGAAATGGCCTACCTTGATTATCATACACATTGTAAGGAGAGTAATCACTTTAGATAAGCTATTACCAGCAGGAGAGTGGGGTGGGGGGAGAGAAAACCTTTTGTAGTGGTAAACACCCATTTTTTCATGGTCTCTGTGTATAAAAACATCTTCTGTATTTTCCACAGTATGCATCCGATGAAGTGAGCTGTAGCTCACGAAAGCTTATGCTCAAATTGGTTAGTCTCTAAGGTACCACAAGTCCTCCTTTTCTTGTTGGGATAGAGAGGACTAAGGAAGTTCGCTACTTCTGGCGGACTCCCAGGACACAAGTCAAGCGGTGTTGCACCAACACTGCAAAGCAACAGGGCTTGACCTTGGGTCCCAGCTTGACTCTGGCTCAGACCCTCTACTCCCGCAGGGTCGCAGGTCCAAGCTGAGGGTTAGCATGGTTCATCTGTAGATGTAAGGGGGGTTAGGCTTGAGCCTGAGTCTGAGCCCGAGTGCTTATTGCATTGTAGACATACCCTCAGGGAACAAATATTTAACAATGGGCTCTTCAGTCTAGCAGAGAAATGTCTAATATGATCCAATGGCTGGAAGCTAGACAAATATAGACTAGAAATAAGGCATACATTTAAAACAGCGTAATTAACCATTGGAACAATTTACGAAGGGCCATGGTGAATTCTCCATCACTAACAATTTTTAAATCAAGATTGGGGGTTTTTCTAACTGATCTGCTCTAAGAATTATTTTGGGGGAATTCTGTGGCCTGTGTTAGACAGGCAGTCAGAGCAGATAATCAGTGTCCCTTCTGGCCTTAGAATCTATGAAAGTGGTTGAAAGACTGTACTCGGAGTAGCTATCAATTGTTTGCTGTCAAACTGGGAGGGTGTATCTAGTACCAGATTCAGGACTGACCCCTCTGGGACACCACTAGTCAGTATTTTTAATGACTTGGATCATGACTTGCACATTTGCGGGTGACACCAAGCGGGGAAGTGTTGCAAGCGCTTTGGAGAACAGTATTAGAATTCAAAATGACCTTGACAAATTGGAGAATTGATCTGAATTCAACAAGAATCAGGCAGCCCCTGGGCCAGCCGCATTGGCTGCTGCTGTGGGAGGGGGCTCAGAGGTAGGGAAGGGGGTTGGGGTGTGGGCTGCGGTTCCCAGCCAATGGGAGCTGCAGAGCTGGAGCTCATGGTGGGGGCAGCGCATGGAGCCCCCCATGGCCTGCCTTTTCCCGAGGAGCTGCAGGGACACGAGGAGCCGGGTAGGAAGCCTGCCAGCCCTGCCAAGCCTCCCCCTTCCAGCACCAGCAGGATTCCCGGGCCACACACCACTGCCCGCCTTCCCCCACCTCGCTGTCCCTCATCAGGCATCCCGGGCCATGACCCCCAGCACCTGTGGAGCCCCCAGATGGCCCACCCACCCCCACCCCAGAGCACCCGCAGCCTCCCTGGCCCAAGTTTTAGTCAGGGCCATATAGTACAAGTCATGGACAGGTCATGAGCCGTGAATTTTTGTTTACTGCCCATGACCTGTCCACGACTGTTACTAAAAATAACCATGACTAACTCATAGCCTTAAATATGAGTCAGCAGTGTGATGCGATTGCAAAAAAGTCTAATATCATTCTGGGGTGTATTAACAGGAGTATCGTATGTAAGACATGGAAGGTAATTGTCTTGCTCTCCTCAGAACTGGTGGGGTCTGACCTGGGGTAATGTGTCCAATTCTGGGTGCCCCACTTTTGGAAAGATGTGGACAAATTGGAGACAGTCAAAAAATGATAAAAGGTTAAGAAAACCTGATCTATGACAAAAGGTTAAAGAAAAACTGGGCATGTTTAATTTTGAGAAATAAGACTGAGGGGGGGGGACGACTTGATAACTCTCTTCAAATCTGGTAAGGGCTGTTATAAAGAGGACTGTGATCAGTTGTTCTCTGAGTCCACTAAACGTAGGCCAAGAAGTAAGGGAGATTTAGGTTAATCTGCAGTAAGGGAGGTTTAGGTTAGATATTAGGAAAATTGTTGTAATTATCAATAGGTTTCGAAGGATTAGATTATTGGTAAATGTCAAACGTCCATCCCCCCCCGTACGCACGCAAAAGGCAGAAGGAAATAC